CATGGAACACTACATCAAAAACTAATGATGTAATGTATGGTGATTAACATAATAAAATAAAATTATTTAAAAAAATACAGTTGGCAAAGGAGCAGGGGAAAAAAGAGACACAGAAAGAAATTTTGTGTCAGGGAAAGGGATATTTTATGTGCAGGAACAACATAAGGCAATAAGATGCTGGGTAGTATTTCTCCATCGTTCGAAGAAATGTCATAAAATGTGTTACTCATTAAAGGAGCCAAACGCTTTTAGATACCTCATTCATGTGTTATCTTTAAATAAATCTGAAGCTGGTGAAAAAAAATAATGAGTTGCACAATATCTTGGTAAATATACTGTTGGAATTTACAAATGAGGAATTTGGGGCAAATGGAAGAACTAAAGCTAGCCAAGGCAAACATATAAGGGAAAAAACATCAACTTTAATCATATCTCTTCTCTGGTTCTCCTTGTGCCCAGGAGGCAGGGCAGACAAGGGGTTAAGGCTGCAGGCTCCCGGGCCAGAGGGCGTGGGTTCAAATAGTGCCCACTCTGTGACCTTGGGTGAGTTACACTGCCTCTCCGTGCCTCAGCTATGCCACCTAGAAGAATGGGATGATAATAGGAGTTCAATAAGCTGACTGAGGCAGAGTGATTTGAACAATGCTGGCACGTAGCAAGCAATTAAAAAATGTTAAAAAGGCCAGCTGTTATTTTTGTCTTGGATTCCGTAGTTACTTTCCTCATTCTCAGAAAATTAGATCACATTTAGGTATTACTAACTACTGAGGCCTCTGTTTGAAGTTGTGATGATGAAATGATCATTTTTAAATACCTGAGAGACAGGTATTTCCAGAGAAGAATCAGGGTTGGCTATACTCAACACATATTCTTTTGGTGGCAACCATAAGGAGATTTAAAAAAAAAAAAAAAGATCAAACATTAGTCAAAGCATCCCAAGGTGATTAAAATCTTATGAATAAATATCCCAAGGTTATTAAAATGTTTTAAAGAAATATATTGTGTTAGGGACACTGGTTTATGTATCTGTTCTGCTTTTGCTTTTTACGATACAGTTCTAGAAGAGCAGGGAATCTGAAGCATGCTTAAAGTTGAAGCCTCTTCTGGGATGTTGCTAAGGAAAATCCACAATCCAGGATTGCTAATTAAAATTAATTCTACTTATGTGCATAAATTAAGTCCTAATGAGGTGAGAAACTGTGGTAAAATAATTAAAGATTGAAAATATCTTCCCTGAATAAAAATGAAGCCAGGGAGGCTTTTATACTCTCAATTCTATTGTTTTCTCTTTAACTGCAGTTGAATAAAAAGAAAGCAGCTCTGAGGACAGGGAGATGGAAAATCAAAACAAAATCTTTTATGTAATTAGCTTATACAATCAAGGCAGGGCAAATAGAACACCTGTGAATGATAGAGAATGAAGTCTTTGTAGGCATTGAAAGATAAGGCACTCATGGGCTTTTTAGCTCAAGTCCAGTCCAGAAGTAAGAGACGAGTGCCCAGGAGAGGATTTTTATTCCAAGCCAGAATGACGTGAATATGAAAAGTTAAGGATTATTGTCAGAAGCACCAAATTATGTTATTATATATATCTTACAAAGAGTACTCTTAAAGAATAACTTGTATTTGAGATCTACTCTTTAATGAAAATAAGTATTATAGATAAAATAGTAGAGAGAGAGAGATAAATATTGAAAAAGAGAGGAAGATCCAGGAAGTCTGAATATTTCCCTGTGTTGGATTTTCAAAAACATGAGCGGCCCAACAGGACTTCCTGGAAAAGGCAAATTCCAGGTTGCTAGTTCTTGGTTAAGATTCCCTGTTAAATGCAATGAGGGGGTGCAGGGGGTCTCCTGGAATCAGAGATCACAGTCTGGGGACCGCCTAACTGAAACTTGCCTGCGACCCCATTTTTGGTGATCAAACCCTAACTCTCAAAAAGACGTTACACTAAATAAATTACAATGTCTGGCTTCTCTCACAAACCCTGACATTCTGGCAACACTGGGGCAGCATTTCTGGCTCCCAACAGTTGGCAGTACCTGAGTAGTGACCACTCCTCTGCAGTTCACCACAGTGCTTTGGGTTGGCTCCTGCCCTGCCCTGGACGTTTCTGAGGCCTCACTCTTGCCAAGGGTATCTATGTTGGTTGGAGGTGTGTTATGGGTGAGGGAAAGGAAGACCTTTGGAAAATCAAGGCAAATATACCTGTGTCTGTTGGGAAGCAAACAGATGGGAATATTGTGGGATCTCTTTGGGGACCCTGATGGACAGGTCTTTGCTCCACAGGTAAGATGGCACCAATCACTACTCAAGTCACTGTCAGGATATAAATATTTGGATAACTACCTTCAGGCTGAACTTTTACAGAGCAGAGGACCCAGTCTCATTCACCATTGTGTCCCCAGTTTGGCACAGTGTGTGGCAACAAAGTTGGTGCTTAATAAATATTTACTGAATTAATACAAAGCCAGATGACTGTAATATTCTCCATCCTCTAAATTGATCAAGTTGAAAAGTGAAAAAGTAAATTGAAAAAGTACTTGCTTTTTTAAAGACAGTAATTCAATTCTCTGGATATCATCTCCCCACCATACATGAAAATCTCTCTTCATTCTATTGACTCTTAGGACCCTCAGGAAGTTCACCTCCTACTAACCAGCAAACTAGGTGAAAACATTATTGGGCCACTTCCAGAGTCACTTCTAGTGCTTAAAATGAGCTTCAGAGAAAATGAGCCAAGAGTGTAACAACTGACAACCAGCTGTGCCACAGGTGGGAACATGGGAGATTTGTCACTTGCATAGCTGAGTAATATACAGTGTTTAAATCAGGGCACACTGGCTTCCACAAACTCAATGAATAATTCCTGTGTGAACCAGCTGATTTCACTTTGTTAAAAGGAAACTCTTTTTCAGTGTTCCAACATACCTGGCCGGATTTTCCCCAGGATAATAATGAGCAAATGTTGGCTGTTTATAAACCCTGCTTGTGAACCAGGAATTCCAAACTCAAAAGCCTACAGGGCCAGGCAGGTAATGGACATGAGTGAAACTTGCTGAGACAGTCAAGTGGGACAGCCACTCCTCTACTACAAATAGCTGAAGTGAATGCAAAAATCTAGGTCCAGTGTTGCCAAGTCTTCCCATTTTTCAAGAGAAGTCAGGTATCTGCTCTTATATGGACATTTCCAAATTAGACAACAACAGAAAAGCCAGGCCCAGATTGAGCCTAAGCCCTCAGGTTTCTGGAATCTACTGTTTAGACAGATAGAGAATAAAGTTCCCCTTTGAAGGCACCTAAGGCACCTTGATGGTCTGTGGTCTGTGACTAACAGCAGATCTCCTCCTCCACTAACTCAAAGGGCCCTGGGACCCTCTGAAAAAGAAACCTTGGTTTTATTGTTTGTTTTTTCTTGGATTTATTCTTAATGGGGTGCTTTGGAATCTTTACGATAGATAGATGGATAGATAGATGGATGGGTAGATAGATAGATATGTATTTATCTCACAGAGTACTTCTGTGGGAATACATTAGTAATTTCAACTTGAGAGAACAACATAACT